GCACTGTGGGTTGTAATTGCGCACGGAATCCAGCGCGTCCAGTCGCGGAGATTAAAAGTCAGAAGGACCTCTGCAGGCCCAACATTCTTTTGGATTCCGTTCCTACCGTGGCTCTGAAGCACATAATCGGATTGCACATATTGGACTTGTCCCATAACAGATTGATAACCCTAGAAGCCGACTCCTTCAATGTAAATTCCATTGTTATAGAATTATATAACATGCAGATTAGTTATCCATTTTCTGATGGGTCAGATATATGCCTGAAATATATACATAATATTCTGCCATTAATGAAACGTAAATGTTTTTCACGGGTTGTCGAATTTAGTTGATTTGGATCTTTGTGATAATCTACTCTCGCAATTGTCGCCGCACGCATTTTCGGCAGTTCTGGCATTGCGGTCTCTGAAGATGAAAGAAACCAATTGAGCTTATCGGCACTTTCAGCCCTCAGAGTTTCGAAGAATCTCGAAGAACTTGACCTCTCCAATAATATGCTTCTGGGTCAAATAGGAGCGAATCTTCTCCCTCGGATGCCCAGATTGCGATTTCTTAACGTCTCTGAAAATGAATTAGTAAACGTTCAACAAGGAGCATTAATTGTACTTCCGACTTGACTTCGCTAAGTCTCAGTCACAACCAGATAGGACTTACCGAAATTTCTCTGCATCCATTTGATTACATTCCTCCGGAATCGTGACTATTACTTTTGGAAGTTAGAAATCCAATCGTCGATGTACCTTCGTGTCCATAATATGTGAAACGCGTTTAATAAATATTAATGGAAATCCATTTCTATATCAACGTTCTGGATGACTATTTCTTCAAGTACTTATCAACTTTGACTCGTCTAGAGTTGGCGAATAATCGCATAGTCGCGGTATCGAGTGCATCGCTGGCACATTTGGACAAATTGACGACCCTGAACCTGCCCCATAATATTCTAAGGTCTTTAACCGCGGACCTGGTGGTGCCATTACAGAGTCTGCAAGATCTGCTGCTGGACGACAACGACATCACGATGGTGTCCAGCGACGTTCCCAATTCCAAGCTCCATTTGAAGCGCTTATCTCTTTCCGACAATCCTTTAAACTGTGACTGTACCTTGTTAGGGTTTGCCAATTGGATAAGCAACTCCACCCTGGACGAGGAGGCAAGGCTTCGGCAGTTTGCGCGACTCCTCCTGCTCTGGAAAACGGAATCCTAACTCAGGTTTCACCTGGGAGTCTGCTTCGTGGGGAACCTACTCCACCGATCATGACCAGGGTTCCTCTGGCTGGGGCCCAATTGACCTTAAAAGAATTCCGCTGTGATAGAAACACCGGAGTTAATTTACTCTGGCATGTGGAGCCTTGTGCAGAAAGATACACTTGTGATATTTAAAGAGTTTATGAGACCGTTGGCGACAGCGAGGTCCAGACCAAGTCGAGTCCATTTCATTGCGACTCCAGGCCCATGAGGGATCCCTGTTCGCTGCCTGTATCCATTGGTCCTTCGTCCCTTCGACTGCAGCCTGGACATAAGTACAAGTAATCATCGACACGAATGTCAGATGTAATCGTCACTCTTAAATATCACTGAGCGCATTTCATAAGTTTTGGAAACTCATTAGTCAACTCGCTATTGAGTTTGTCTAGTAAACAAGTTCATTCAGATTTACATATTCGAAGACATGCAAATCTGTCAATTAAGTTATTCCGGAACGGTTAACGTCGTGGCTGAAAATGATTTAGATTTCGAAGAACTGTACTTTTTATTGTAAGAATATTTTCGTTCGACTTAATTTCTTTCTAAATGATTACGTGACGATACGATGACATTTTTCCTCCAATTATCAGAATGTTCTTTTGAAAATTATTGCATATTTCTTCCGTGATTTCGTTACATCGTTTTCGTTTTAGGTATCCTATTATTTAAAAATGCTGTTTTCGTTAATTAAAAAGACTCAATAGGCTAACATTGTGAGACCCGTAAGAGAGCAAGGGAGAACGCCGTTGGGAGACATAAGACCCGCGAGAGAGCAAGGGAGAACGACGTTCCGGAAGGAACGTGGCCGTAGGCCGGGGCTGAAAGAGAATCTTCTTCGCTGGCGTGAAAACATTGACAATAATCCGCTTATCGGGAAACCGACATTGAAATCCTCACAGCAGGGGGTGGGAGGCCCGAGACCGGAGTCTTGAGAGCCGTAGTGGAAGCCCGGGGCCTATGCGACCTGTAGGAGCAAGCGAGAACGCCACGCCCCTCGAGCCACTAGTCGGCGGCCGAGCCGTGCCGGTCACGCCCGCGCGAAAGCATTATCTGGTCAGGACTCGAAGCCCGGACGCATAAGTTTGTCTCTACGCTGAGAGACGGTTAGAGCATCAAATAGGCCATCTCACTCGGACATACGGCCTCCAGGGCGGATATAGAGAGACACAAGTATGCAGTTCCCTTACCGCACCGGCCCTCCGTCTACTTGCTACCGCTGAGACTGCGTGTCGACGGACTCGAACGCTTCCCGAATGACTCACCCCCCCCCCCCCCCCCCC